ATCTCCTCATTGGCATTTCTACATTTGTCCCATGCTTTCCCATCATTCTCCAGAGTGAGCCTGAAGTGAAACCTATCTTTTTAAACCATAAGTCCAATTCTGTTCTCCCCTGCTTGAAATTATCCAGTACCTTTGCTTCGTATTAAAATACAATCTAAACACATTATAGTGTCCTCCATAGTCTGTCTAGCTCTTGCCTACCTTCCTTTGTCTTAGCTTCCCTCCTTATTCAGTAGACTCTAGACACATTGGCTTTATTGATTCTCTGAAAATACCACTGTTTCATACCTTAGAGCCTTTGCACTACCTATCCCTCACATCTAGATTGCTCTACCATGGGTGTTCACATAGCTAGTTCCTTCCCATCATTCAAATGTCAATGCTCAAGTGAACTTCCTTAATCATCCAAATCTAAAGTGGCCACCAATCCCTCAATTTTCTGCAAAGCACTGACCTATTTGAAATTCTTTTCTTATTTATTTATTTTATAGTGATGTGTATCAAGCCCAGGGTCTCAAATGCTCTACCATGAGCGCTACCCCTTTTGCTATTTTTAAATAATTTGTTTGCCTGTTTATAATCTGTTTTTCCCCATTAGAAACTGAGTCTCGTTTACCAATATATCCAAGACTGAGAATAAGTCTCTTGTTCAATAAATATTTTTGTTTTAAGTATAGTAAAATGTTACGGTGGGGCAATATAATCTTAATAAAAGATTTAAGAACACCAAAAACTATTACAAGTACCTTGGACCATTTTGTGATCACCATTTCTTAAATACCAACTTATGTGATGCTTGAGGATGGTAAGTAATAAAACAGTTCTTAAATACCTTGGAAGTCAACTTGCCCTTAGGAATAAAAATAGTCTTCTTAGACCAGCTGGAAATAGAGTAAGGACCAAGAGTAGAAGAACTGTACAAGCAATGAGAGAGCTTTGACTTTCTTGCATTGATATACTCTATCTGTAGAGGGATTGACAATAAAGTCTTAAAAGTTTGTGAACTGATTTTTCAGGAAAACTAGAAAAATCAGAAAAGTGGGGAGAATTTTTTTATTTTTTATTTTGCCTTTGGGAGTAAGAACCCAAAGAAATGGTGTATATGGTGGCTGTACAAAAAAAATAGAAAGAGTGGCATCTTTGGAGACAAAGTGGTTCAGAAGTGTCCCCAAAAAGAGTGAATCTGGAGGCTGAGCAGAAACTCTCAAGCTTCCAAATCAAGAGGCTAAAGGGGAATATTTAACTGAATTGTCCTGAATTTCTCAGTTTGAAAAATTCGAATGTGATTATGAAAAGATCCTTTCTTGGGAGATTCTTTGTTTGTTTTTTTGGCACTGTTGCTTCTTTCATGGTCAAAAGCCAGGAAAAAAAAAAATCTCCAAACAATTTGAAGACTCTGGGTTCTCATAAAAAAAAATCAGTATTGGTTTAATTCTACAAGCTGTAAAGATTTGACTCATGTAATGTTATGACTTGAAAGAAATAACAGGGCAGAGTCAGTCTGCATCTGTCCTCGACAACAGCAAGAAAGTAAGGGCAATTTCCGAACAGTTTTAAGGTCAGGGCAGGCAGACACCTGCTTGTGATGCTCTAGGCATATCTACAGAGCATAGTTTGGACCCTTTTCACTAGTCTAAAGCTGGAAAAAAAGGACTGGAAGTTAAAGAGAGCCTGTAATATCATAGCATAATTATAAAAAAAATTGACATCTAAGATATTACAACCATAAAAAGGACAATGAACATCAATGAGTTAAATAAAGTAAATTTCCATCAAAACATCTTCGCATAACACTTCTGAAACAGACTCTCAATATTTTCTATAATTTAAAAATAATATCTGTTTAATTTCATACATTAACCAATTGAGTAATGTATGTGAGGAGGGAGGTGTGGAGGACAGTGATACTAGTTGTTTTTTCTGGTATCTAGTATCCTAAATAGAAACAGACAGAAAAAAGGCAAAAGTTTCCATTGAATAATTATACTTACTCCCAGTCCCAATGGTCATACCTTCTAGTTCCTTGCACTCTCATTAATTAGCATTAAATATATACACAGAACTTCCCATAAATTTTCATCTCTTTTACTTCTTCTGTGCTCTGGCCTTCCCTCACTTCCATCATCCAGTTTCTGTATTCTTGCTTCAGTGTTTGTTAGTATAACTGTTAAGCCTTGAAGTTCCACTGACTATGTTCTCTATAACATCAGCCTTTCTAATTTCAGTCTAGCCCTTGTTGCTGTCCAGTGATTCTTCTATTTTGTTTTGTAGCCCTAGTGGTTATTCCAGGCCTTTGGCCTTACTTTCTGATGTTCTACTTGCTTCTGTCTTCTAAGAATGATGTATATGACCTTTTCCTTTATTAAGATTACTCTTCTCGTCACCACTGTCTCCTCTGGGACCTGTGGCATGTCATCAAGGACATCCTACCTCCTCACATCAGCAATTTCTCTTTCTATATCAACTCATCTTGCAGCAGTATCACCTTTTATTTTGCACTGCTAAGAATTAAATACAAGGCTTGCACGTATTAGACAAGTGTTGTACCACATAACTCTCAGAGGTCTCACATTTAAACAAGTAAGCAAGTAAGCCTTCTATGACTGCAAATGAAGCACCTCTAATACACGTTTTATAGAAACAGTGCTATGGATTGAGTGTCCCCTCCAAAACTTATGCTGAAATTTAATTGCCATTGCAACAGTATTAAATGGGGCTGTAAGAGGTGATAGGTCCTGAAGGGTCTGCCCTCATGAATGGATCAATGCTATTAGCATAGGGATGGGTTAAGGATTGCAGGAGTGGGCACCTGGTAAAAACAATGAGCTTGGGCCAATTTTTTCTGCCCCACCGTGTTCATTTGTCCTGCCATTATATTATGATACAGCATGCAGGCCCTTGCCAGATGCTGACACTGTGCTTTTGGACTTCTCAGCTTCCAGAACTATGAGCCAAATAAACTTGTAACATTTGTAAATTACCCAGCCTACAGTATTCTGTTACAGCAGCATAAAATGGACCAAGTCAAACATCTTATACCCATCCACTCCATTTCCTCATTAATATACTTCTTTACTCTGTCCAACTTTGCATTAGTTCCCAACACACTATATAAACCACTCTCCCATTGGTCCTTTTTTCAGTCTTCAACCTCTTGGCAACATTTTTCCTACCCAACGCCTTTAAGGAATTCTCTCTTAACTTGTTCTACCTTTTTTATGGTGCCATTTGTACTTATTTGACTCCATTCTTTTCCTATCTGGATGCAGACATTCCACAAAAACCCTGAGTTCCTTTATTCTTTCTACCTAACAAATGGCTTCCAAATCTTCAAACATTGTGCTGCTTATTTTGTGTTTCTATGGCTTGAGCCCTAGCCTCTTTCCCAGGTTAGAATCCTCATTGCCTCCTTGCATGTATCTTTTGTAATTCGAGCCTGCAAGTCTAACTCACTAGTGCCCCTAAATCAAATTTATTATTTTACTCTCCCCAAACCCCTTCCAACTGCTTTATTTCTGACACTGGTATTCACCACTCTTCTAGAAGCCTGAGTAACTCACCTTGTATTCAGTAAATATCTGTGTGCTTAGTATATTCATATATTACTCAACAGCTTTAGGCACCGGGGATAAAGGAGTGAATGAGATGAATGAGGTTCTTGCCCTCATAGAGTTTACATTCTAGAGTGGGAAGGAGAAAACAAAGTAATCAAAATAAGATAAATTTTGGTAGAGAGAAATGCTGTAAAGGAAAGAGTGAATGACTGTTTTGAGGGATGGAGTTGGGTAGTAGGATAACCACGTTAAATACACTGGGCAAGGGAACCGTTCTGAGTAGGGAACATTTGAGTGAAGTCTGGAAGAATGAAAAAGCCAATCATGCAAATATTGAGGAAAGAGCTTCTAGAACCAAGGGTTCAGAAAGTGAAAAAGCTCTAAATGTGCATATATCTCTTTATTCCCACTTCAACCCATCACTCTAATCTCAAATGCTTGTCAGATTATGCAGAGTGGCCTTAATTTTGTTTTCTCTTAGACCTGTTTGTTCCTGATTTAAGCCCTCATACTTCTTACTCCCCATCCATTCTCATTTCAGTGCAACTCTCTTACTCTACAGAATTAACTTTCCTAAAATAAACTCTACATCTTAATCTCAGTCAAACCTCTGGTGACTCCCATTATTCACTGAACTCCGAAGCTTAACATTCAAGTCTCTTTACAGTGTAACCTTAAAATATCTTTGGATTCTTTTTTTGTATGCTTCTGTACACAATCTACCAAAATCAGTGTTCACAACACACCTTACACAGTCCTGCCTCCAAGGTTGCCCATAGTCCCCTCTGTTTGGAATGACTGTTATCCCCTGTTACTCAACATGGGCCAGCCATAGCCCTCCATGCCCCATCTCACATCACCTTTTCCTTTAAGCCCTTCAGATTTCTCCCTGCTTTAATCCAAAACCAACTTTATTCCTTTCTAATAGCATTTGTCACATTTTGCCCTGTCATATGGTTATGTGTACATCTATCTTCCCTCTCTATATCCCTGACTATGTTACAGATGTTTAGGACAGTGATCACATGCTATTTGTCCTTGTTACTAGTGTAGTGCCTCACACATAGTTGGCATTGAATAAAATATGCTCAACAAATAAAGGAGTTCATCAAATCTGAATCTGATTAACCATATTTATTTCATGATACTCAAGTGTTTTCCTTTTTGTCATCCTTCTTACTCAATTCTCATGAGACCTGTATGTGAAAAGGCAGAGAGCAGGCAGGAAATGTAGAGTCCTTGTTTTGAAACAGTCTAGTTAGTTTCATTCTGGTAAAATGATTAAAAGTTTACATTGAGGAACATTAAAAATGACTGTGTAATCATTACAGTATGAGATAAATCACTTAGTGAAATAAGAACTGATTTTCTGCTCAGATACAAAAAAAAAATCTTAACAGTTTAGAAAAATAAAGCATTATCAAAATCAAAGTATGTCATACTTACTACATTACTGCATGTTCTATATCGGATATTTCGTCCTTCACAGCTCCTAGGTCACACAAAGAAAAAAAGAAAGCTTATTATTACCTATGAAAGGCTCAAATTTTGAGCTATTTTCTTATTAAAAACAATTTCCTTTTAGTAGTAATGGGAGAGTCTTCCTTCTTCTAAATAGAGCATAGATTCTTAAGTATTACTACTAAAAACTAAATTAAGCAGCTCTAGAGAAATTTTACATCATAATTGATTTCTCTATATACAGGTTGAAACCAAGTATTCATCTTGCATCAGAATTTTTCAAAATAAGTATTTAGCATGTATTAGATAAATTTTAGGGCAAAGTTTTCTGAAAAATACTCATATTAAATGAATCTTATATTCTTAATTATTTCTCACATAAAACTAAGGAGATTTTTCAGTGAAAAAAACTTATATCTTAAATATGATAAAACTGAATTTAATATTCAACATGTCTTCCAAGGGTATGAAAGTCTTAACTCTTAAATAATTTTTTTATTTCTGAATTACATGCTCATTGTGTAAGTTTTGAAAACAAGTTTACCAAAAAGAAAAAAAAAATCTCCTGAGGTTACCTCACCTAAAGATAATCACTATTATTTTGATTTTCAGTACAGAGGAAATCACATCACTTATATAATTTTGTAGCCTGTTTTTTTTCTCCACTTAAAAATTTTTGGAGGTATTTTCCCACACAAATAAACTTTAATAATATTGCATGGAAAGTTGCATAATATTCCATCAAATGATATAATTTGTGTAATCATTCCTCCATTATTTGTCATTTAAATAATTTCCATAGGATTTAATAAATGAGAGTTAAAGAAACCATGTCTCCATGCACATATTTTATCCATGTTTCCCACTGTGTCTTTAAAAATGATAAATTTATAGAAGGGGAATTACTGAAATAAATGGAATGAACTTTTGCAAAGTTCTTGAAAATTATTGCCAAACTACATTCCATAAAGGTTGCACATTATATACTCCCATTAACAATATATGGGAGTTTCCATATTACTGAATTCCTGTGACCAAAAACAATTGATTTTTGATAAAACATTCAACGATGACCACCCATAAACAATAGCACACTGCTCTTTTCAAACTAAGTCACACTTTTTAGGAAACAAACTGTACTGTAGAATTTTGAGAGAATGATTATATGAATAGCTAATAGTTGTGGAATTCTAGCTATACTTTTAAGTTTGTTATGTGTACTAATTTATTTAATCTTCTAAATTTCCTGATAGATGGGATATCATCATTATATCCTTTTTTACAGATGAGAAAACTGAAGCTTAGAGAGGGGAGACTAGGTATCCTGCTCAAATCATGCAACTGTTAAGTTGTAGAGCTATTTGAAACTAGACCATCTGGCTGCAGAGCTTATAATTGCAATGCTTCAGTGCCTCCTAATTAATGTTCTTGATTTAATTCATAGAGCAGCTCTTACTATATTCTGGGCAGTGAACTTACTTTAGGGAATGCAGAGAATAAAGAATATAACTTAGTCGTTGCTATTAATAACATTAATCATACAACTATAATTCAGTATAAAAATGCTATCTAGTAATTGTGTCAGATCTTGAGAAGGTTAAAAAAATAAAGTGTCATCTAAAGCACAATTATAAAAATGCAATCTTAGACCTAAAGATTTGACTTCAACCAGATTAACTATATTAATATGCATTAAAATTAGAAAAGGAACATACTAGACTTATAGAAAAAAGGAGACTCAACAGAAAGACATGATGGTCAGTGTCCAGTCCAGCAACGCCCTAGACAAAGAGCCTGTGAATTTCAATCCCTTCCTGTCCATTGGCAGGATTAATGCTATTTTGATAATAAATGATTGGTAACTTAGCTAATGCCAACCAATGTTCAATTCAAGTGAGGAACATCTCTCCCATGATGCCATGTTGACTAAGCTGCTTGCTGAGGCTGATCTGGATTCCCATGACTGCTGAGAAGTGGGCAGTGCTGGCCTCATTGTCATAAGTATTCTGATCCAAGTGATGGTACCTCAGCTTAAAACATTAATATCAGCGGCTAAGTCATTATATATCACTGTGAGTTCATAACCAAAAGAAGGATCTATTCTTAGTGCTATTTCTGAAAATTATCAAGTTTCTGTGTCTGAAAAATATGAGAGTTAGGTTCCAGATCGTAGTAAATTTACAAGGCAATTCTATGATCCCAGAGGCCTTTGGTGGCGTGCTACCTAGACACTAGTGCTTGTTGAATGTGATAGGTTTTTCATTTTGCAATTACTGGTGCATATGGAACACATACAGCAGTTAAGACTACTCTGAAATCAAACTCCTCTTTCTGAACTCATGGCTGTATACCTAACTTTCCATACCTCAGATTTTTATCTAAAAATTGGATAATATTACTTATCTCCTGGTGCTCCTATGAGGATTAACTTAATAATTGTGAATCACTTCATAGAATGCCTAGGACATTGTCAGCATTATGCAGGCATTTGATGTATTAATTCAGCACATAATAGACACAAAATATGATGGAAATTGAGTGGTGATTAATAATATATGGAGAAGAAACTGCAAGAAAGGCATAAAAGCATGAACAGATTTGGTACATTTGCAAATTTTCAGGTTTTTTTTTTTAAAGCACTTAGGGTTTATATGGGAAATTGCAGTAGAGAAACATGAAACTTTGAACTTCAAGATAGGCAAAGGGGAATCATGGAATGGTTTAAAACAGAAATGATATAATAATGACTTCTTGCTTTAAAAAAATGAACCCTGGGCTGGGCAAGGTGGCTTACACCTGTAAGCCACCTACTGGAGAGGGGGAGATCAGGAAGATCATGGTTTGAGGCTATACTGGGCAAAAAGTTTGCAAGATTTCATCTCAACCATTAAAAACTGCAAAACAACTCTGCAAAACTTTATTATTCCCATTTAATAGATGAGGAAATAGAGTCAAGGAAAACTGGAGAAGTTTAAAGCTACATACACACAAAAGAAGAGGACACCAGAGATTTACAGCCCAGGTTTGACTAACTCCAAAGTATATGAAACAAAAAGAAAAGGAACAGTCTGTACTCAAGACATGTAATATACTAACACTAAAAACCTGGGCGGCTGAGCAGGGATTTGGCCCAGGGCTAAGTTGCTTCATATTGATATTGTATCAGTTTATCAGCTGCTTCTCAATTCTGGTAAATCCACTTCCAGTAAAGCAAACCTAGACACACATTGGAACAGCTCCAAGAGAAACATACTCATCAGTAAGACGCAATGTGAAAAAAAACTACAGTGCAAAGACACTCATTTAAAAAAGTTCAAATTTACGAGATACATTTTGCATAAGGAGCAAAGTGACCATTCTACCACAGGATTTAATTCCTGCCAAGTGTAAATTTCTTCATCCAGTCATATATTGGGCACAAATATTCTCATCTGAGAATTAGGTTGTAAAAAATACTTTTTCCCTCTCTTTTTCTTTTTAAAAGTTTGTTAATATAAAACAGCTGAATGCCTCCCCCCCATTTAAATGAATTAAAATTCATCTCTGGAGATGAAAACAAACGTTAGGAATTTAATCTAAATGGCTTATGAGAAAAGTAACAGAGCACTGATAACAGGACTTAAGTCAGTGTGTTCTCTCAGTGCAAATTATAAAACACAGGATGATGCTTAGTGAATTAGATACTGTACCAGTTAGGGACACAAAAATGGCTCAAGTATGAAGGAACAAAATTTAACTATTAGAACATATTCCAATCCAAGTCCAATTAGAAAGTACCCCATTCCTTTATTTCAGTACTTCACTCTTACCAGTCTCTTATTTGGTCTTGATAACGTCTCTCAGAAAATGAAAATCACCTCTATTACAAGTTATCATTTGTGAATTACTCAGACTTTTAATTCCCTTATAACGAGATTAGCGTAGATTTAATGCATGGTTTATCTCTTATTAACATACAACAAACTTCCAGACTCTTTCAGTTCTTAGAATCCTGATGTTATCTTAGTTTCCGTTATCATATTTAGCAATGTTAGAGGAGGTAAATTTCCATGGAAATTAAGACTCTCTAGGCTTTAGCAACTTGTCAGCCTCTTATCCCTCACCAATTCTGTTCATGTAAGTCTTTGAAAGAAAAGCGGTGCATTCAATTTTTCTCTTTTTTACCATAAAATTCTTCTTACCTCTCTATGCAAACAGATCTTTTTGGAGACATCATCAGGCTTATCCCTGATAAGCCTGATGATGAAAAATCTAGTAACTGAGCATTTAAAACTCCAGAGTCCTGAAGGACAACCATACTTGTTTTAGGCTCATGAAACCCAAGCTTTCTCTCTGTCTTCCAAAAAGCTAAGACGTGTTAAGTAAGAGCAGGATATAGGCTGGGCATAGTGGTCCATGCCTGGTATGGTGGTATGCCTAGCTCCATAGGAGGTGGAGATAGTAGGACTGTAGTTCAAGGCCAGTCTGAGAAAAGTTAGTGAGGCCCTATCTCAAAAACAAAGCCAAGCAAAAAGGACTGGAGATGTACCTCAAGTGTGAGAGCACTTGTGTTGTGAGGGCCTAAGTTAAATCCCCAGTTCCTAAAAAAAATGCAGGCTACATTATTTCCCTGAATTCCATCTGTCTTTTTAGTATGGGCCCACAGGCAAAGAATTTTAAAATATTTGTGTATCTCTTTTTTTTTTAGTCATCCCAGAGAAAGCGATGAGCTCTTTTTAAGAGAGTAGACATAAAATTACGTCAGCAATTCAAGTCAGAGGGAGTCCATTGAGACTTGCGGAACCTAGAATGTGGGTGGATTAGACAAGACAAGTTGGTTTTCAGCCACAGCAGGAATTCATTCCCCACGGTCCTGGACCACTGCAGTCCTTCTTCACTTCAGATGACCCTCTCAATACTCCCTGGAGCTATACTACAGGAACATGCCGCCCAAGGAGCCAGTGGTTCTGAGAACACCCCAGAGAGTCAAGTGCAAGAGTACTACCAAGCTTCTTTTCATTTGCCACAGACACCTTATCGTAAGAGGGTCTG